ATCACAGAAACAAAGAACAGAGTTCCATATGTTGTCACTCATAAGATGATCTTGAACAATTATAATGCTATAAGAAAGTGATTGGCAGTAATGGGAAACTGTTGGGGGGGTGAATTGGCAGTTGAGGGAAACTGCTAGGAGAGGGAGGGGCATACTTCATTAACAGGGGTACCTGCATGATCAATGTTTGTATACCTAACCCTGAATTGTACCCCACATCTTCACAATAAAAATTTTTTAAAAGTTAAAAAATAATAATTAATAAATAAATAAATAAATACAGGCAAATCCTAACTTATAAAAAAAAAGAAAGAAAGAAAATTCACCAAGGCTATCCTACTACCTTCAGGCAGGGCCACATTTAACCACGAAGCAAAAGGAGTTATCCTGGGTTTAAAACCCTCCTGAGAAGAGGATTACAGTCTCCTTTGGTTACCCATTCTATAGTCAAGTCTTTTCATAAAAGGAATTCTTAATAGAGCTGGTCTGGATCTCCTTAGGTAATAATAGTTTAGGCACATTTTGTCTTTTGCTGGTCTCAGTAAAGACTGTCACCCACTTCTGTATCCAACTGTCCTTCTACTCCCTACCTTCTGAGCCCTGCCCAAGTGAAATGGCCCCAGTAGTTCAGTATATCCACTGAGGCCAAGCCCTCCCAGGAGAGGAGGAACCCAACTGGAAAATCACACTCAAGGAACTAGCTTCACCTGTCTCCATCACCTTCCTCCTCTACTCCATCACCAGGCTCCTCCACTGCCTGACTGGATCTTGGGACCCATGAAACTTCGTCTTAAACTAGATTGATGACCTGTTTCAGTGTAATTTCTGTCACTTTGCAGGACACCATAGATTAGACTCAATTAGTTGACTTTTAAGATCCTTCTGTTGTTTTGGGACTCCTTGACAGTCCCCTCACCAATGTCCATCCTGTGTCTGGCAGAGATGAAGGATAGCTCTGAAACTCAAAATTTCCCATGTAAGATAGAGAAATATGGAGACTTGCGGGCTTGAACAACAATAGGAGCCTTCTCCCGAGTCACTTGGGGGTATTCTCTCCTTCAGCTATGTGCCTGCCTCCGGACCCCATGGGCTGGAGCTGGCTCAAGCCCCAGTCCCACCACGCACTGGGTGTCTTGCATGGAAAAACTTCAGCAAGATGAGCTCCAAAGCCCTCGCAGCTATAGTAGTTTTTAGAAGTCTGTGATTCTCCTGTGATAGGCACTGAACAGATTGGTTCTTCAGAGAGGAACACAGAGGCTCAGACATGTAACTCACTAAAAGTGTGCCATCAGGCAGAAATCAAGCCCAGGTAAGAACAAAGTCGGCATGGAAACCCAGGATGCCCAAGTTCCAGACATCTACTCTACCCACATCAATGTGTTGCCCGAAGAAAGCTAAAGGGATCAAGAGAGGAGAAAACCCTCTACTGCCTAGTTGATCTCCTGCCTTCTGCCTGCCAGCCCCTGCCCACCCCAATTCTCCTCACCCCCTGGTCTCCTGGCCCCCTGACCCCATTCTCCGTCTTCTCTGGTACCCTGTGGGTATCTTGAAGGATCACCCAAGCCTGGGGTAGATGGCACAGATTAGGGGGGTGAGTGGGGAGCCACAGACTTCTCCATCAATACCTCCCTTCTCTCCAGGGATTTAGACGGGATGAAGTAGAGTAGCTTAGTTCAGGTTCAGTACCAACAACATGTTCTGTTTTGGTTTGGTTTTAACTCTGACATTTGAGAGTTTATATAGGTTTGATTTTGGCTTCAATTTCTTTATTAAAAGATTGAGGTTGCAGACAGGGAAAAAGCAAAGCCTTCTGATTAGGTCTCCGGTTCAGTAAAAAGTTAGTGGTTGGGATTGGTCCTAACTGAATGCAACAAAATGTTGATGATAAGTTGTCATTGGTTCAATTCCAGCTCTAATCTGGCCACAGGTACTGTCTGGCCCCAGGGACCACAGAGAAGTCACAACCATGGCTTCTGACTTTGTGTCCAGGCCTTGCTGGGATCCACAAAAGTGCCCAGGCTCCTCGGGGAGAGGGTGACTGTCCCAGACAGCAGAGGGTTTAACCAGGTTTAATCTCCTGAGGCGGGAGATTCTGCACCAGGCCTGAGGGAGGGGGCTGGTTCTGTAGCTCCTGGGACTGAGCCAGAGACCTCAGGAGACCTAAATCTCCCTGGAGAGAAGCAGCTGTCACAGAAAGGGTGGGAGAGGCACTCAAACATCTTCCCTTCAGAGGCAGGGCACAGTTCATACTCATGCAAGAAGCAGAGACTGAACCCCCATTTGATGGAAACAGAAAATTGAGGCCAACCCCACCAGAAGTCATGGCAATCGCATCTTCCCTGCACTTCTTGCAATAGCCCAAGAACTTTTATAACTAGAAACAATGGCATTTCTATAAGGGTCTTATGGAAAATTGGGTCTGTCCATCCGAGGGAGAATGTTGCTTTGAATGTTAAGGGGAGCCATTTAATTGTGAGACATTTTCCATGATAGATACTCTTGTTCTTCCTTCTGCTTGACTCTCGTCATTGGAATTGCTCCCTAATGGAGAGTGGTAGCTTCAGCCCCTTAAAGTCACTGCTGATTTCTAGAGTCTCTCCGCTCTAAGAATGAGGTAAATGGGCCTCTGACCCCTTCCATCGGAGGAGGGGCTTTAGCGATAGATGACAAGACAAGAGCATTGACTAGCACGAAGCCCACCAGCTAGATAGAAAAAGGGCAAGAGTGGAGCTTAGGTGAAAGTCCCACAAGGGGAGTTACTAGAGGTAGGAATCCTAGAAAAAAATAGTTTATTTGATTCCATCGAGGTTACCTCCTCAACCTCAATCCCAGAGCTCCCTAAATCACCCACCAATGCAGGTAAGGAGAAGAGCACAGTGTCCCAGCTTCTAGGCCCCAACCCACTGTTTTCATCCCTGGAGTCTAAGCACAAGGGCCTCAGGTAGGAATCTGCTGTTTCTGCCATAGGACCTCCAGGACCAAAACCTTCCACCCCTCAATGAGCTCATGGTCCATTTCCCGTGTACCTTCAGTTCAGCGCAGCCTGGTAGGTGCAGCCATGCCCTGGCTCAGGCCCCACAAGGATGCAAATTATCAGAGGGTGAGAAATAGGAATGGAAGCCCTGGTCCCACTCTTCCGACTCTGCAATAAATAATGCTGCTAACCCTACCCACTTGGCCAGCAAGAACTGAAAATGCATTGCTCATTCACCCTCACACATTTGTTGTGGCATCGGGCCCCAAGCTTAGCACTTGGGATGAATAAATCAAGGTGTGTTGCCCTCAGGAGCTCTCAGTGTGGTGGGGACAAATGGGCAGAGGGAGGGGATCATTGGGAGTAAAGAGAGAACCCAAAGATATAAGAGAGAAGGAAGCTTAATCTTAAAATCTTCCAGAGAAAAATGTCTTTTGACCTCACTTTGATTCAGCCCTAAAGAGTCCAGCATACGCCATCAGTTGGTGCACAGTTCATGTTCTTTCAACAAGCATTTCTCAAACATTCCCTTTTATCCATCATCAGCTATGTTCCCAGCCCTGAACTAGTCCTTAGAGGGTTATAAGATAAATAGAAAATATATCCCTGCCTTCAAAATCTTGACAGGACTTACACACATCTGAAGCAATTAGAGGACAATTTCAGGAGGCAGTCAATACATGTTCACTAGTACATATACAATGAATGAATCAATTGATTATAATCCTAGGACAAAATGTCTGGTTAAAAAAATAAGATAGGCATCAAAGTGGGAAAAATTAATTAGCCATTAGAGAGGTTGGGGAAAGCTTCAAAGAGGAAGGGGATCTTGAGCCAAGGGTGTTTGGATGGGCAGAGGACAGAGAAAACAGGCTGTTGGGGGTAGTGAATATTGGTCAACAGTCAGCTGCTATGCTGGAAGCAAAAATCTGAGAATGGCACATTCAAACCAAGGACTCCTTGCCACCCACTTTTTGTCTGACCTTAGGGATCTCTTTCCTTTGATGTCAATATTCAATATGGGGCTTAGGTATCCTAGATTAGTACTTCTCAAGCCCTTGCATCAACAGCATCAACATCATCTGGGAATTTGTTGGAAACTGACATTCCCAGGCCTTATCACCATTAAATCAGAAATTCTGGGGGTGGGCCTCACAATGCACTTGATCAAGCCCTCCAGGTGATTCTGAGGACATACTGGTTTGAGAACTGCTGGACTACATCACTGCTCTTCGACCCTGGCTGCTCATTAAATTCACCTGGGGAGTTTTAAACCCAAAGAAGATGCCAGGGCCCCACCCGTAGAGATTGTGATTAATGGATCTAACCCTGACATTCATATTTTTTAAAACTCCCCAGATGATTCTAATGTGCAGCCAGGGCTGAGAAGCACTGGACTAGATGACATCCAAGTCCTTTCTGACTTATTTTCCTGGGATGGGCTTAGAAAGACAAAGCCAGAATTCTGGGCTCACTGCATCTCACAGAGTAGATTTGCAGACAGTTGAGGCATATGTTTGGGGGCATAAAGACCCTCCTGAGATCCAAAAAGCTTGAATCTCTTGATGACCACCTTTTTGAGGGTTTGTATAATTTTCCACCTTTCCCTGTACCTGCCTGAGGCAAGGATGCTGTGTGCAGAGATTGAGTCTCTCACCCCAACCCAAGGAGTGTGCACAAGCACACACTTGCTTGCACGTACAGGCAGCACATGGTGCTATAAATATATGTAGATGCTCACAAGAATAACCACATAAGGATATTCAAAGTCATCCCTAAGGGCACATATGCACACAAAAATAAATCCACTGTTAGTAATCCCAGGCCCAGAACACTCAGACTGCTTGGGAAAGGATTCCTCTTGATGGAAACTGGGCCATTTGAAATAAGTGGCACTTCTGTCTGTGGAGTAGTGATTGGGGAGTTAGCAATTGTCTTTGGCAAGCTACCTGCTTTAGGCATAGGCAAGTAGCCCACAGGGGAATACTGAGTACAGATGCTGAGGACATCCTTGTTTCTCTCGCAGATTCGGGCCGATGGTCCCCCTCATGGTGGGGTCCAGTACGAGATGGTCTCTGTGCTCAAAGACGGGAGTCCCATCCTCCGGGATATGGCCTTCTCCATTGATCAGCGCTACCTGTATGTTATGTCTGAGAGACAGGTAAGTGTTGACACACATCCCTCCTTTCCATACTTCAGAAACGTACTGATAATCTGTCACCTTTGTTCAGAAGCTGTTCAGTCTAACAAAAGAGACCTCTGGGCTTACTGCACAAGGGTCCTGAGAGAGGTAGAGTCCCTGAAGGCTTTTTCAGGGAGCCAGAGAGAAGCAACTGGGGGCCAGCCTCTTCCCGGAGGCTTCTCTCTAGGCCACATTCCCTGTCTCAGCAAGTGATGAACAGCCCTGCAAGAACGGGCCAGACTGCATGGAGCAGCTTGGTGTGATTAGGAGGTAGATTTACTGCTCTCAGGCCCACAAAGTCTGCTGCTCAAGGGAGCCAAAGAGGTGTAAATAATCCAGGCCTCCAGGCTGGGCCCACTCCTGGGAGACAGACCCAAGATAGGGCCCCAGAGGAGATAAAAATCTTGGCCTGAGTCTTAGCCCAGTGTAAGGTAGAAGCTGGTCAGCTCTTAGAAGCTGAAACTATGCCTGCAGAGATGGGGAACCCTGGGAAATAGACTTCCACCCTCTGCTGGGTAACAACTGAGCAAGTTCCCCACTCTCTTGGACAGATAGAGCATTATTCCCTCAGATTGCATTTCCTCTGAATCTGGGTGAGTGGAGAGAAGACTAATGCAGAGAGAACCATGGTGAAGGGAGAGAGAAGCAGGGAAGAAAGGGGATTTGTGTCAATGGAGATCCAGAAAACTATGCAAAGACCTTAGCCAAAGCTGGTTTATTCTGTTCACCCAGTGGGTTAACAGTCATTTGACAGCAGCAGTGGTCTTGTCATTTTTCTTAACAGGGTAAATAAGATAAAGGCTGAAGTAGGAGAAAACGGATTGTGAGTCTGTCTTGGCAGTTGAGGACACTGACTTAGGCTAGAGAAGGATGCTGCTGGGACTGTAGGACCAGTGAACTTTCACAAGGTGCCTCCTGGCTCATATGTCATTCTCAGAGGACTCTGCAAGGTCCTTGGGTATCCTTTGTCAGCTTTACCTTCCCCAGGGCTCTCTTTACCTCCTTTCTTTTTGACTATAAGGAATCTGAATCAGGGGATGAGGGATGAGAGGAGCAGTAAGGAAGAGGTGAGTGGGCACACAACAGAGTTAAGGGAAGCAGTGATACAGTTCTAACTTGAAAATTACTTCTTGAGGATGAATGACATAAATCATATGCTAATTGGATGCAAATTACATCCAGATCCTATTGAACCCACCTGCCTTTCTCACCTTCTTTTGTGTGGCCTCTGCAGTTGAGGCATAAATAGGTCCAGATGGGAACTCAGTGGAGTTGGAAGAGGCCTTGCCTAACCTAGAGTGGGTGAGATAGTCTTGAAAATAAGCACTGGTCTATCATCCAATGAAACAGTCAGTGGGCCTAAAAAGAACCACTACTGGGCAGCATGGGGAACAAAGTCCTGGGGAATCATTAAAATGAATGGGACTTGGTCACTACCCTTAAGATGATTACAGTCTAACAAGGGAGTCAGACATGAACCCAGTTATCTCTATAACATCAGATTGAATCCTATAAATGCTCTGCCTTTTCTTCCTATTTCTCTTTATTTTTAAGAAAAAAAGTTAATTTTTAAATTAAAGATGGTAGATGCTTACCATACAAATTCAAGCAATCATACAGAACATAGCAGCAAGTTACCAAATCTCACTGCCCAAAATATAACACCATGTCAACATTTGGTGAACACCTTTCTAGACACTTGTGCAGGAATAGATACAGATAGAAGAATGCATAGGTAGACAGCAACCTAGAAAGTGGATGAAAGGATGGGCAGGGATTGAATAGACCTGCGTTTTACATAACAGTTTCAAGAGACATTGTGTATAGCTGAGGACCAGGCCAATAGCTCTTGGTAAGAGTTCTTTCTTGGGTTCTCTGAGCCCAGTTACATAAAAAGGAGAAGTGACCAACGAGACCTTCGTGGGGTTGAGAAGGTGCCAAGGACCATATGTTGCTTGTATATCTTTTACTCAAATGGGAAACCTTCTAGAAATGCATTCAAAATGCAACCAAAGAAGAGGGGCTGGGTCAGGGCTGGAGGCTGATGAGTGGGCTTCAGAGAATATAATGACCTCCTGGAGCCATATCTGATGCCATCTCAGAGAGCATCAGCCCTGGCCACATCAAGTATCCACATTACTTTTTTTTTTAATTTTTATTATAAAGACGTGGTGTACACTTCAGGGTTAGGCATACAAACATTGATCATGCAGGTACCCTTGTTGATGAGGTATATCCCTCTCTCCCCTAGCAGTTTCCCTCAACTGCCTATCCTACCCCTTCCTCCCCTGACAGTTTTCCTCACATAACTTTTTTGTAAATATCCTCTCCTTCATTCTCACCTTCTGCTTCAGGTGTCTAGTTCTTGTTACAGTCTGCACCAAATAGAAGAGTTTAGCAGTAGCCAGTTAAGATGAGCAGATGTAGGAAGAATTTGGGTTTCATGCCACGGGGCTGTCTCTGGTCAAGTGAGATATTAGTAAAGGGCGCTCCCTTCACCAGGTGGGGCTGTGATCAGGAGGCAAAGTCTAAGGGGGATTTGTGGTGCAGTTATGAGGCCTGTCACCTAGAGAGCCGTAAATTGTATGGAAATAGGTAGCCAGGTGATTTCACCAGGGCTGAGTCCAGGGATGAGGGCCAAGAACAGCTCTAAAGGCCCATCTGTCTGAAGCGGGCTGTGAGTTAAGTATTCACAGACAGCTCAGACCTCTTCAAGGAAGCAGCTTCATGTTTGGCAGGAGAACAATCAGTGGAAATGAAGTCAGATGTCCTGGGTTCTAATCTAGCTTTTGCTATAACTAGTATGTGGCCCTCTCACAGCTTCCATTCCTCCTTTATAGATTAGAGGAGTTCCTTCAGATAACAGGCTTGTCTCTGAAGCCCAAAGCTCTGATTCGAATCACATCTCACTATTCTAATCTGAGTGGTTTAGACAAGTCTCTTAACCTCAGTGCATCTCTCACAAGGTCAATGTGAAGCTCAGCTGAGACAATAAATGGAGGATTTCTTTTTACTCTGCTTCACACGCCACATAAATGCTCATTGCCAAGATTCTGTACAACCCCACTAGCTCTTGTGTTTTATGGTTCTATTACTCAGGACTGTAGAGACTGAGTGATGAGGAAGAGGAGGACCAGGGGCATGTGACACAACCAGTCAATCTCACTTGAGCCAGGAGGCCTGTGTTCTAGTCTCAGCCCCACCTCTGACTCCCTGGGTAACCTGGGCCCTCAACTTCTCAGGACTCAGTTTTCCCACCTTTAAAGATGGAGATCATAAATCTAACTCCAATGTCTCTTCTAGATCTTAAAGAGACTTGCCTAAGGTCCTAGGATTGATACGCTTTCAAAAATGTGTTTAATATACCTAATCTGCCGAACATTGTAGCTCAGCCTTGCCTACCTTAAATGCACTCAGGACATTTACATTAGCCTACAGTTGGGCAAAGTCATCTAACACAAAGCCTCCTTTATATTTAAGTGTTGACTATCTTGTAACTTATAGAATACTGTACTGAAAGTGAAAAGCAGAATGGTTGTGTGAATACAAGTATGATTTTTATTGTATGTATAGTGCTGTTGCACCATCATAAAATAAAAGAAAGTTAAACCGTCATAAGTCGGGAACTGTTTATATTCCTATTTTTAAGCAATAGTTTAAGACTTTGGAGTTCTCTGAAAGTCCTAAGACCTTATAAGGTATCATGGGAATGGGGCTTCCAACCACTTCCTACTATAACAAATCGCCATCTATTTTCATCTCTATCTTCCACCGTGTCCCCAACTCTTGCCTCACTCTTCCCCCATCCTTCCCCCAAAACAGGGCACCTCTAATACCCTTGAGGCCATGAGAAAGTAGAACACTGGGGGAGTAGAACTAAATCCCTGGTGTCACATTCTGCCCAGAGAGGATTTTCTCTCCCCAAGAACTAGAACAATCCAATATTGCACTCGTGTGTTCTCTCTCTCAATTAATTAATTAAATGTAATTAAGAAATAGAACTAGTAAGAAGTGTTGGGTCGTTAGTGTCACTGCCTAACAAGTCAATGTTAATGTACTGTTAATAGATCTAAAACCGGTCAGTCCCAGAGGAAAATTTGGGAACTGATTCCCCAATCTTGTTAATTGCCCAGGTGCTCCACTGGATGCCTGGCTCTTCCCTAGAAAGTTTGCCCCAGCTTTATCAATAGCAAATCAGCAGATGTTGTGAATATGACTACTAGTTACTCCCATATCCTCAGTGCCTAATGGAAGTCAGACGGCGAGTCCAGGGAAAATCAGGCTACGAGCCAAGTTAAAAAGCAAGCAACAAGATGAAAAGAAACTTGATAACCCCAGTTTCCACCCAACTTGTCAGGCTGGTCACTCCCAGAAAGGGAATATCACTCTGTACTCAGGGTGGATGGGAAAAGAGTCTAGGGATGGAAGCAATTATTCTATTTTATACTTTAATTAGTTTGAATTAGCAGAGAGAATAGAGGCATAAAATGATCCAGCGAAGGGTGAAATGGAAAAAGGGAGTCACAGTGGAGAATGGCTCCATGCAGGCTGGAGAAGGCCTTGGGAACAGCAGAAAGGCTGGTAAAATGTGTGTGTTTGGAGGGGTTGGTGGGCATGGGATTCTGCTTTCTGTTTCGAGGCCTGAGGAGGCAAAATAGCATAGCTGTTAAGAGTTGACTCAAGGAGTCAGAGCGATGTCCATGCCATAGCCACTTACTAGGTCTATAGCTTTGAGAAAGTTGTTCAACTCCTCTAAACCTCAGTTTCTTCATCTGTATAATGGGCCTAATCATGGAAACTGTGGTGGGGGTTGAGAGAATATGCATAAATTACCTAGTATCATATCTGACACTTAGTCAGTGCTTTCAATAAGTGGTAGTGGGCATTATCATTTTTAGTAGTAGTAGTAGTAGTAGAACTTCCCTGGACCCCAAGAAGGGCTAGAAACTTCTCCACTATAAATTATCAGTGAGACAGAG